TTGCTTTCAGAGGACAAACCTTTACCCCCACTGCATGGACAGATTGTAAGATGGTGAGAAGTGGATTCCAGGGAGCCCACACACCTACCAGCAGATACTGGGATCTGCAGATAGTTTCTTAATCACAATTAAATCTCAAAAGTGCAAAAAGTACAGCCCCTCCATCAACTCCACCTTCAGAATTGAGCAAAGCTAGAGGATCTACATAAGGAAGAATAGGAGATTGAGCAAACAGAAGTAAAAGCTACCCCCAATCCCTAAACAACAGAATTAAAGAAGAGGTTAAAAAAAGGGGGATGGAGGAAAAATCTACACAAATGAAGAAAAACCAAAGGAAGAATATGGGTCTCACACAGACCACTGGGAGGTCAACCACTGAAAATACAGACTTCGGAACACAAACAATAAAGAGCCCCCAGAATGACTGATCTCAAACCACAAACCCAGATATCAAGATATTAATAGAGAGAAATGAGGAGAGACAAGAGAAAGGAGTTGATAGATTAGATAACAGCAATAAAGAATACAGTGAGTGAAATGAACAACAAACTGATAAGCATGGAAAGCAGAATTGACCAAGCAGAAGAAAGAATCTCATAACTTGAGGACCAAAATATGGAACCAACCAAAATTGTTAAAAACATGGAAAAGAAGCTTAAAAAGACAAAACAAAACTTCCAAGAGTGATTATTTCAAGAGGCTGAACCTAAGAGTAATTGGAATCCCTGAGGCAGATAGAGAGAAAGAGACCACTCTGGAACAAACATTCCATGAAATTATCCAAAAAACTTCCCTCATCTCATCAGAGACGTGACCACTCAAACACAGGAGATTCAGAGAACCCCTGCAAGACAACAAATGAGAAGACCAACTCCTAGTCACATAGTAATTTGCCTACACAAAGTAGGTATAAAAGAAAAAATCCTAAAGGCAGCAAGAGAGAAAGATCAGACTACCTACCAGGGAAGACCAATTAGAATAGCAACAGACTTATCTACAGAAACACTTCAGGCTAGGAAAACTTGGAGCCCAATCTTCAAAATTATCAAAGATAAACAATTTCAACCAAGAATTACCTACCCAGCTAAGCTAAGCTTCATCAGTGATGGAGAATTAAAATCCTTCCTAGACACTCAATCTCTAAAGTTTACGCTGCCTCCAGACCAGCTCTACAAGAAACACTTAAGAAATTATTAAACATAGAGGAAAGAAAAAAATAATGACAACACCCTTTCCATGAATGCAGGAAAAATACTGGAAACACACATGAATCAACCCAAAAATCAAAAGACAACAAACAAACAGCAGCTATAACAACAAACTCTATAAGGACCTCATGACAGGGGTAAACTCTCACATCTCAATAATTAACCTGAATGTGAATGGACTAAATGCACCAATGAAAACATATAGAATAGCAAAATGGCTAAACTATCATGAGGCAACAATATGTTGTCTCTAAGAGACTCATCTCATCAGAACGGATACTCACAGGCTCAAAGTAAGAGGATGGGAAACAAAATTTCAGGCAAATAGAACACAAAAGAAAGCAGTAGTCATGATCTTAATATTAGACAAGATACCCTTTAAGCTAACAAAAATAGGTTCAATCCATCTATAAGAAATATCCATCCTAAACATACATGCAGCAACATAAAAGCACCAACTTTCATAAAGCAGCTTCTAGGTCAACTAAAAGAAGTTATTGACCCTAACACTATCAAAGCTGGGGACTTAAATACCCCATTCACAACCCTAGATATATCATCAAGACAAAAAATCAACAAGGAAGTTTGAAACCTCAACGTGATGCTTGACTAAATGGAATCAATTGATACCTGCAGAACACTCCACCCAATAACCACAGAATATACATTCTACTTATCATTACATGGAACATGTGCTAAGATAGACCACATCCTCAGTCATAAATCAAGCAAAAAGAAATTACAAAAATTGAAATTCTGCCATGCACCTTCTAAGACCACAGTGGAATAAAAATGAATATCAACACCAACAAAGTTCCCCCAAAACCCAAAGACATGGACACTAAATAGTATGATGCTAAAAATCTCCTGGGTCAACATGGAAATCAAACAGAGATTAAAAGATACCTAGAAACAAATGAAAACAAAGAAAACTCTTACAAAAACCTCTGGGATGCCATGAAAACATTACGAAGGGGGGAATTCATATCTCTATAAACATACATGAAGAAAATGGAAAGATCACAAGTTAACAGCCTAAAAAATAACCTAAGAAAGCTGGAAAAGCAACACCACCAAAATCTTAACTTTAACAGAAGAATCCAAATCACCAAAATAAAAGCCCAAATTTGAGAAATAGAAGACAAAAATATAATACAAAAAAAACCAACAAAACAAAAAAATAGACTTGACCCTCACTTTATTTTTATTTATTTATTTATTTTGAATTGGAGTCTCACTCTGTCACCCAGGCTGGAGTGCAGTGGTACACTCACGGTCACTGCAGCCTCGGCCTACTGGGCTCAGGAGATCCTTCTACCTCAGCCTTCCAAGTAGCTGGAACTACAGGCAGGCACGTGCCACCATGCCCGGTTAGAGGTGATGTCTTGCCAAGTTGCCCAAAAGTACTGGGATTATAGGTGTGAGCCACCGCACCCGGGTCTCACTTTTTATTATACATGAACATAAATTCCAACCAGATTATAGATTTAAACAAAAGCAAAGCCATGAAAGGACTGAAAGAAAATGTTAAGAGGCATTTGTATAATATAATCTTTGAAGGGCTTTCTTCAAAGATGACAGGAAACCCTGAAGCCATTAAGAGCAAGACTGAAAGACAGGACTACATACAAATTTAACGCTTGGGCATGCCAAACAACTCTATTTTAAAAAATTAAAAAGAAAAGAGCAGAATATTTACACATTCTACAACAAAGATTAACATACTTAACATACAAAGATATCTTACGAATTAAACCATCACTGTACGGCATTCTCAGTAAGCAAGTTAAAACATAAATATACTATTATTTTGCAATTCTACTTCTAGAAACATACCTAACAGATCTAATATATACATAAATGTGTGTGTATATATATTTGTGTGTGTATATACATATACTTGTGTGTGTGTATGTATGTATGCATATATAAATATACACAAATAAATTTTTTCTTGGATCTCCAAAGGTTTTTATTTCAGTAGTCTCTGTAATGGAAAAAAAGTGGGAAAAAGCCATGCTAAAGTGTATATTAATGGAGAATTAATTAAATTATGATAGAATGCTATAAGAGTATCCTATGTAGCTACTTAAAAATGAAGGAGATATAGGTGATGACATGGCAATGTGTTATATCTCATTTATATATTATGCTCCAATTTTTATTAAAAATTTCTATTTAAAAATTACACAGTAGAAGTAGCCTCTTGACTGACTCAATCAGGACCACCGATTGGTTAACAAAAAGGATAAAAGCAGGAAAAGATACCTTAAATATTTCATTTTAGTTTTAAAATATACATACACATTCTCCAGTCTTTTGGCATAGGATCAAGCACTTCTATTATAGGTCCACCTATCCTTTCTGATTAAATCCTTAGAAACCATTTAAAATTTCTGGTTTCAATTTCTATACAGTAAAGTGGGGACTAAAAACATTTATAAAGCAATCCAGGTGCGCACTCTATCTAGATTTATATTTTCCCCCAATTTTTTACAATTGTCTTGCCCACTCCTAATTGATGCAGTTTTTCTTACCATCTAGACTTTAGCAAATATTTAGAAACAATAATTCCTTTTCACACACATTTTGGTTTACAAATTTCATTAAATGGCAAAATTATAATAACAAATGTAACTAGAATAAAAGGTTTAGAAACAAACAATATTAACTCTTGAGAAATATAATCTCAGAAACTTGTCAATTAGTTAATTGACATTCAAGTTTATTAATATTTTATAATATTTATTCTTTGAAATTAATTAACATGAGTCATTTAAATCAAGTATCATTAATTCTGTATTAATGTGGGTACTTGATGATTTTAAATGACAAACGTTGCTTTCATTCTATTTCTATCAGATAGCACAGTTCTAGACCTGCAGACATCCTTTGTTCAATGATGGTGTCACCTGTGAAGTTCTACTTGAAAAAAATGAATCAGACTCCCTTTTATCATCTGTTAACTAAATCAAAGACATAGTGCAGTAATATTTTATAAATTTCCCTAAGCAGACTTCGGACCCTGTATCAGAGATTTGTAAACTATGGTCCATGGGCCATATTTGGCCTGCTACCTGTTTTGATATGGTCTTCAAGCTAAAAATAGTTTTTGTATCAATGTCTGAAAAAAATAAAGAGATTAATATTTTATGATTGTAAAAATTACATTAAAATTCCAATTTCAGTGTCTATAAATAAAATTTTATTGGCACATAGCCACACTCATTAATTTATGTATTATCTATGACTGCTTGGTGCTATTAGGGCATAGTTGAGCAGTTGCAACAGAGTCCACATTGCCTGCAAAATATGTAACATTTGCTATCTGGTCCTTTATACAAAAAATTTACAGACTGCTGCTCTTTATCACTCCTTACAGGCCATGGGCGGTTAGTTGCCAGCTGCATCCACAGGACTGGTGAAACAATGAGAAGAGAAAGTTTGTCTCTACTCTCATCCCTACTAGAAGCCAGTTTAGATTTTCAGTTTAACTTTCTTCTGCCATTATTATTCCCCACTCCAAAAAGTGTCTAGAACGCCAGCTTCTGTAATAGTTTTTTACACAGGTGGTATCACAAAAATGCTCAGAAAACTGTGGCATCAAATGGTAAGTGTGCGCCTGTGCTTCCACATAACCCAGGGTTCTGTCTGTGACATCAGTGGTACCCATTGTGGGCTTGATACTCTGCCCTTTTAGTGTCCGGCCTATGGGTAATAATGAAGTGTACTTCTAGCTCCTCAATTTATTTGCAGGGCTGGTTCTCAACCCCCGGTTTCTGAGATACATACCTTAGTAGATCCTGTGAACGCAATCTTGTCTATGCCAATGTGAGAAGCTATTGCTGCCCCAGCCGTTGGCCCGTACCCTGGTAAAATATTGATGACTCCAGGTGGAAAGCCAGCCTAAGGAAACAGAATAGGAGGAAATGTGTTTTGTGAGAGTGAATGCAATATTTTGAAAAGAGAAAACTTCTTGTCTATACTGTTAAAAGAGATATGCTTTAGCAGGCTTCAACTATCAGAAGAGCTGGAACCACTCCTGAAGTCAGCTTCTCTCACCTCCTTAATGAGGACTCCCATGTAGAGTGCACTGAGTGGCGTCTGCTCTGCTGGTTTAATAACTACTGTATTGCCACAGCACAGAGCTGGTGCAATCTTCCAGGTAAACATCAGCAGGGGGAAGTTCCACTGAAAAGAAAAAAAATCAGAAGTTGATAGATGGAAATATATTCCTTTACCATTTTGTTTTCAAGCTGTGACTTCTCAGATTTCTCAAAATAGTCTTCAACATAAATCCTGTCCACCACAAAGTATAGATGTTTGGATGTTTAATTACTTTGTTAAGAATAGAATAGCACTGACCTTGAAAATCTCTATTCCAACTACCCATCAAAAAAAAAAAATCTCATGGTGAAAAGGGAGTTTTTGTTTTTTCTTTGTTTTGGACTGGCTTTTCACCATTATTGTTTGATATATTTTTTAAATTGGGCTTTAGTTTTAGTAAGTTATTTTGTATGAAAACTTTTGCTTGCGTCTCGGATTTTTACACCAGAATTTCTACACTGGTTTGAAAGCTCTTCAGCATGGAAGAACTAGAAGATAAAATTCTAACTGTGAGTTACATTAACCCAACTAATTATATGTCACAATAGCATGTTTTCTTTATATACACGTGTTGTCACAAACACATATGATTACAAAAAATAAAATGCATGTACTGATGCAAAAATTTTCATTTGTCTCTTTTCTACTGCAAAATAAGCTAATGAAGACTAAAGTTATGTTTATGTGAGTTATGAATTTGGGGCCTAAAATTGTTTAAACTGATGTTAAAAGGATATTAAGTTTGGATTGTCATAAGCTCAGGCATGAGCCTCAGTACTATCAGGTGTCATTGATAATTTCATTAAGAAAGAAAACAGAAATCCTGGTCCCCTGGCTTCAGCCCCTAACCACAGTGTGTTTCTGCCTGAAGCATCTCAGCTGCCATCCTTGAAGGCTTCTCACTAGCTCTGGCAAGCTTGCGAAAATATACAAGTGTCTTGCCTTCACCAAACACCCAATTTCTTTTCCCCTTAGTTGTTTATAAACTTGGGAGTCCATGGTAATGTTTTAATTCCATCTACAGAATATAAATCTTGGCGTGCAGTAATTGAACCGGAGCTAGCTGACAAGCAGCTCTTGTCCTGTCAGTGAAGCTGCAGCTTGAGAGTCTGGGGAAGGGCAAGAAGAGCAAGTTTGAGTCCTACAAGGATGGTGGCAGACCTCACCACTGAGCTGATCCAGGTAGGACTTCTCTGGGGTGCTTAGGAGCAGAAGAACTTAAACCAAACCTCTCATTTTCTCTTTTCATTCTCTGATAAATTTCATAGTAACCTGGGGTTTACTAGTTGAACAAATATTAATACCCCACAAAAAACTTGGGTTCCCAAAGCCAAAGATCATCTTAAGTTATTCTCCAATATTTTGAAAGGAGAAAACTTCTTGTCTATACTGTAAGAGTTTAATTTGAGCCTCCCCTTGAATTCCCTGCCAGAACTATTAGCTAGAACTGGTAGAAGCTTCAGTGATGCTTTGTATTGTGCCACGGGTATGTATGAGAGACAGAGAAAAAAAGGACAATGTTTAATGTTCCAATCCAAACACTAAGCACTACATCTATTTCCCTTTACAAGACACACAACAGCCCGGCATGGTTTCAATTATGACCGTGACGTTAATTGTACTGCTGTGTCTTCTGTAGTGTCTTCTATCTAGATTCTTGTGAAAAGAAACAGTGGGAAAGAATGGGATTAAAAGACCATATAAAATAATATGCCTAGAAAGATGGTGAGTCACAGTTCTAAAAAAAAAAAACAAGCAAATATAACAAAACATTAATTTTCCATAAGGAGAATGGACATCCATAACCGAGGGCAGATTAATACAATGTGCTTTGTTTTGCTTATTTTAATCATGAGAATTCCATGACTTGAGAACTCAACTCCTGGTAACGGAGCTGAAACCCTATTAACCTGTTCAAATAAGCATTTGCAGGGAGGCTGTTAAAGATATGTCAACAACATGAGCTCAGTTTTTTTCTCCAGTAATGGAAAACACACATAGCTGAGGACCATGTTTTATGTGTCTTTAAGAGAACTGGTTCAAATGAAAATAAATACGAGGTGCGAGAAGATACACTCACTGGGATGATCTGTCCACACACTCCAATGGGTTCATGTCTTGTAAAGGTAAAATAGTCTCCATCTGAAAGAAATAAGCGTGATCACTCTCAGAAAGTTTAGATTAGAAAAGAAAAAGAAATGCAGAGGGAGAACTTTGGTGCAAAAAGCAAAAAACAGAAATAAAGTTGAAAAAACATTCTCCTTCACCGTGCACGAAAGCTGGCAGAAGACTATCACTTGGCACAGGGTACCTCTGGATATAGCTCCCAGACACCCAGAGGACTGAGGAGAGGACCTCTAAGGCAAAATGAAGAACACTATAATTGATGTCACTAAAAGTCTTATGAGATGCAGTGGGGAAGCGAAGGGAGAACTGGAAACTGGAAAATACTTGAAACTAAATTCTTAGGTAAATATTAAGATAACAAGCTTTTAAATAATTTTCTGAAGTATTAAAAAACTAAAATGTTATTGGGCAAATTTTAAATGCTAGACAAGTGAAAAAAGTGAGGAGTAAAACTAAGATATAATTCATAACTCAATCCAAGTGTCAAAATGTACTTCCTGGGTACTGGTGAAACACAGGCATATCCAGGGCTATTTAAAGAAGGCAAAGTCCCTTCTAAGAAGAACTCTATCAATAAGCCAAAGTCTCTGCCCTCAAACTAGACATAGAAATGAAGATGTCCTTGTGTCCTTAGGGGCTGAAGTAAAAAGAACTTGAGAGAAATTTAATAGCCTTATTTCCTTATAAAAATAATAGGCAATTAGAATAATTATACAGAAAACTGAACCAAACTCTTCCTTAGGAAAATATTATTGCTTTTATCTGAATTATGTTAAAGGGCTAACTGCAGTAACCAAAGAATGCTTCGTTTTTAGCAGATGGCTTTTCATTTCTAATCCTAGGCAAAGTCTGTTTTTTCCTCCATTGCCAGCCCTTTGACCACTTCACTGATACTTGTTTTCTGTCTCAAAAGTAGTCTCCCACTCAACTAATATTCAAGACACTCAACTAATATTCATGAAAGCATAACTATTAGGTAGGGAGAGACGGTGGGGACAGGAGGAGTGTGTGGGTTGGGGAAGATAATTTATGTGAACTGGATTGTTTATTATTGTCTCTCAACACATCTGAATCACTAACACTTATCACACAAAACTGTTTTAGCTAATTCAAAATTATATATATATATATATATATATATATATATTTTTTTTTTTTTTTTTTTTTTTTTTTTTTGAGTTGGAGTCTCACTCTGTCGCCCAGACTGGACCTCGACCTGCTGGGCTCCGGTGATCCTTCCGCCTCAGCCTTCCCAGTAGCCGGAATTACAGGTATGCGTTACCACGCCCAGCTGATTTTTTTTTTTTTTTTAAATTTATTGTAGAGATGAGGTCTCGCTGCCCAGGCGGGTCTCGAACCCACGGGCTCAGGCAATCCACTCACCTCAGCCTCCCAAAGGCGCGGGATTACAGGCTGAGCCACCGAGCCCAGCTAAAATGATATATTTTTAAACAATTAAAGGTCTTGGCCTTTGTCTCTCTCTCTCTCTCTCTCTCTCTCTCTGGCCCTCTAATCTCTACTCCCTCCTTCCATAACTAACTGCTATCTGTTTCATCTTTTCAAATAACTTTTATTTATGTCAAAGTACAACATAATTAGCATCTTTTTATCCTCCTTCTCTTTTTTATACAAATGGCATATTAGTCAGTCTTTTATATTTTGTTTTTCCCCCTTTTTTATTTAAAGCTAGCATATATTTTTAATGACTGCATGTCATTCCACTGGCTCAATAAATGGTGGTACTGCTATAAATTCTCCTGAAGGACATAGATCTTGTTTTCAGTTTAGGCTATTATAAATCATTCAGCAAAGATTATCATTTTACAAATCTTTTCATATCTGTGAAATGTCTTGGTCAAAGTGTAAATATATTTCACAGTTTCATAAATACTGCCAAATTACTCTTCAGAATTCATAATTCCAGCAACATACTATTTTTCTATTTTTTTTAATGCTGGGGATCTTTTAAACGTTTTAATTCCAACCAATCTGATGGTTGAAAAATGGCAACTTGTTTTGATTTGTATTTAATGAGATATGGAGGTGGACATCTTTTCATGTTTACGTTCTCTGCCATTTTTCTATTGGGTTAGTCTTTTTTTTAGCCCTTTAAAGAGCTCTATGGATAGTAAGGAAATTAGATCCCTGTCATATTACTGCAAAGATTTTCTCCATTCTGCTGCTTGTCTCTTAACTCTGTTTTATATATATTATTTTAAATGGAAGACACTAGGCAATAGGCTGGATTCTATAACTGTAGGAAATTGTTTTAAAATATATCTCCTGTTACAACAAAAATAGTCAAGATGTTGAAGCTGTAAAAGGATGACAATAAGAAGTCTGAGTATTATTTTAAAAATCAAATGAACTATTTTAGATTTGTATGCAGGCAACTCAAAAATCTTCTAAATAGATATCATTCTTTGTAACAGTGCAAATTACCATGCTTCTTCAATTTCTAAATCTCTGAAAAGGTTTTTCATGAGGAATCACAACACTGATCAATAGATGAGAACGTTTCATTTGGAGAAGATCTTCGTAAACTAAAAAACTAAAACTAAACTCTGTAATTTGGCTAAGCTGATGAATTTAGGTGGATAGTGACAGAACAGAGAATTAGAGTGTAATGTCAAGGTGGAGTGAAAATGGGGCTGAGAAAAACGGTGAAGATGAATTGAACAAGAGCACAGGAGTTTATTTCAGCAGGAATGGGTCACAGAAAATTCACAAGGCACTCGCACAAGCACAACACGGCAATTCATAAAGCACTTTTCCCCTACGTCCTAAATGTTTAAAAATTTAATAATATGACTTATATAATGTCACAAATTACTGAAAAAATGAAAACAAGAATAAAAAACAAGGCAAAATCCTAAAAATCTGACCTCATAAGGAGCTGAGCTTGACTTCATAATTGTGTCTCAATTGTGTCTCAAGAGAAACTGAGCTATGGGGAATGAAAACTTTCTTGGATAAACTGTTCACAGATTTGATAAACATTTAACTAAAGGCTAACACGAGAGGGGCTGAATTTTCTAGTCCTCACAGTTCCACTAAGAAGTAAATAAAAAAACTAAAGGATATGTTGGTGCTTAAACTCTTTACAAAAGAACACTGAGTGAAAGGGAGAAAGAAAGAACCCTAGACCGTGTGAGCTCAGTTTGTATTTCCATCTGGATAGTGAAAGATGACATCCCTAGTCTGTTCTAGGGTACCTGACAAACACAAGAGCCTTCTACGAGCATACTCCTTAGGGCGAACAGCAACCCAGAGGTCATTCACAGCTACCAAGACACTGCTCTCTAGATCTGAGCTTTTAGATAAGGGTTATCCTAAGACCAATCCCTCAAGAACCAACTTCATAATTTTTGCCGAGTCACCTATTCTATTATTTACTTAATAATTTCTGTTAAGTCAACTCACCTTTTTAAAATATGTTAAATGGCTATTTTTTAGTTTCATCTTAAGGAAAACCTATGAAATAACAGGCTTCATGAGCTAGTAATATTTTCTTCTCATATTCTTCAAGCCTAATAATTAAAATTTAGAAATGTTCACCGGGTTACTGTATAGTACGTTTAAAGGTATGTTACATGGTGCCTCTCAAACTTGGGTGAACACACAAAGCACCTAGAGATCTTGTTAAAATGCAGATTCTGAATCAGTAGGTCTGGGATGAGACCTGAGAGTTTGCATTTCTACATGCTCCCAGGTGATGTGTGTGTTTCTGACCTACAAAGCACACTCCAAGAAGCAAGATGCAAAGGAGCCGAGAGGGTAAAGAGGAGTTCATGCACATTACAATGATCTGCAGTTGCTATACAGTTGTCTGACTTTATGTTTGTTTATTTATTGCCTTTCTGATAACTCTATAATTTGCCTGACAGGAGTGTGAAGCATATGAGAACCTTATCTGCTACTTTTAAAATAGTAAAATAAGAATCAAAACCATACATACATACATACATACTTCTACATAATATATCCTTTTTTTTTTTTTTTTTTTTTTAGAAAGCAGGATTTATTGAGAGGACAAAAAAGCTCCCATGGTGGGAGGAGACCCAAAGGGGCTACCCTCTACATAATATTTCCATAGAGCCTTATAAAATATTTTCCCATTCTTATTTCATCTTACACTCAAAACAGCTCTATGAAAAAAATAAGATAACTATCATTATCAACATTTTATAAATACAGAAAACATGGCACAAAGAAGTAAAGTCCAAAGTGGTATAAGTGGTTAAGTCGTGGTTCCTGGATTTAGATCTGGGTCTCCAGACTTCAAGTTCTTCACCCATAAAAACATATTAAAGACCTGTTTGTGAGGAAGGTGTTGGATTTAGGTGGGTAATCGCAAACCACAGAATTTGAGTATATAATGTCAAGGAGTACAAATGGGGTAATAAAACCAACAAATAAAGAAAGACAATGATAACCCTTTTGTGAAGAATGGCGAAGATCAGTCTTTGAAAATTTGCATACTGAGAACTCATGCAAACTCTTGTATCTTAAGTTATAAAGGGAACACTACAGAGAAATATTCCCTGCATGGAAAAGCCCAGGACTTATCACCTCACTCCCTTTTATCTAGGCAGAGGCAACTTGAAGGGGAGACAGTGTTAATTCTCTCTTCTGTACCTAAGGTGATAGATCATGAGTACTCTTCTTTGTCTAGGAGAAAAAATTATAGCCCATTTTTCCATCTTTTATGTCAATGCTCTCTAAATACGGCAAGATGACTTAAAAGTTGTTTCCTTCAATTCTCTAGCTTTGTGCTGTAACATCAACAGCCTGGTATAAAAGTAGTTCCACTCAAACTCAGATATTCCATTGTAGGCAATGATAATTTTAAGTCTTCTTACCAAATATTAGAGATTATAGAGCGAGCTTAAGCTCCAGCAAAAAAGGATTTCATTTGATGAGGTTATCAGAAAAACGCTGTGAATACCATATTCTGGGTCAACAGGCTAGAACTTAACAATTGTGGAGAAAACTAAAGATTAGATGAGAGACCA